GTCTGAGATGTCTCCCCGCAACTGGTCAAAGCTTCCCCTGTCTATGACGACAGCTAGGGCGATTGATGAAGTTGACAGATACCTATCTCCTATCCGTATCGTGCCTATCTATCAAATCACTTCACACCTCGCGCCTGTCTTCACGAAAACGAAGGGACTTTTAGCTTATGCCAAGAGAGCAAAACGGCGCTGCCAAAGTTGTCAGGAAATCAAGCACTGTCGTCGGCACTCGGACGGGTGACTGCAGCCGGCGGTTGAGGTGCTACAGCTGACTGCCGCCGTCAGCGTGGTTTGGTGCAGTGCGGGCTGAACGGCGCGCGTCTGTTGGTGCTGTGGAGGATGCCACCTTGAACTCCCCTAGTCGGACGGGCCTGGCACATGGGTACCAAGATTTGCATTGAAGGGTCGAACCTGTGAGCAGCAGCAACCTTCTCCAGAAAACGGCCAGAGATGTTCCTTGGTTGACATTTGAACGGCACCCGCAGCAATCAGAAGATAAATATCAACGTCTCCGTTTGCGATAGCAACAGCAAACCAGCTTCGTTTGGAGAACGAGAACGAGGAACACACCGGTCGACGCGGCAGGATCGAGTGCGTGCGTATGCATCTCCAGCAGGGCCATTGTCAACCTGTCCCCGACCCCTGCAATATGTCATCTGGACGGTCATCGCTTTGACCCCCTCTTGTCGAAGCTTCCTCGAGATATTCGAAAACGCCAATCATGGACCGGCGGCGGCATTGATGACATATCATTCCATCATCAAGCCACCGCGGAACTCCAAGATCCCTCTTGGCTCACCGAGAGTCAGCAGATGCTCTGTGCCTCTGAGCTTGTTCAAAGCCTGATAGCTGGACGCGAGAACACCTCCTCCAGCTGTCGCATGCACGCTGATACGCCCCGGCACCAATTAATATAACGGCTCCTGCGAAGAGCTTGTATTGGTTCCATTTACAGGCTGGAAGGCTGCTGTTGATGTTGCATCAACCCCCTCCAAGCCATCGCCGAGAGGTGGTGTGCAAGGAACAGACACGGCTGCTGCCATGTCCAACAGGACGACTGCACAACCACAACACAACCGCAAAAGGAGCAGAAGGCGAGACGAAACACTGGACCTCCGCTCCTCAACAGTGCCGCTCCTGCATTAGCGGACTGCCTCTGCCTGTTCCTGAAAATCTGCCATGTGTTTTATGGAGGCCGGTGCCATGATGCAGACGCTTTGACAGACAGTCTGAGCGAGAGGGAGCAAAAGGAAGGATTCTGTGATGATTCTCGAAGGCTGGGCACGAAACTTTGACTCGTGCTAACTCTCCAACCCAAGCAAAGAAGCGACGATCTTGCCAACGACTTTTCGATCGAGCCACCCACATGGTTGACGTGGAACTCGATGCCTCCTCTTCACTGGCGCTGTTCACCAAGTTCAGATGACATGAATGATGCCCGGTTAAGGTGAGGGGGTGCTGTAGGATTGCTACACTACATACATAGTGTATGTTCCGGTCCAGGGCTGGAGGCATGTCGAAGGGCCTGGCAGCCCTGGCCTCTGTCTGGCTACAGCGAATGAAGAGGCGCGTCGTCTGGGGAATACCACCATAAACTGCACTAACAGCTCGGCCAATCACGCTACCTACTTTGGCGTTGTGCGAGAGCGAAGATGCTGCTGATGCGAAGAGTTACAGGCTGAGAGCTCCAACATGTCCGGAGCCCCGATTCCGTGATGCCGGCGACGAAGCCTTCCGTAATTGCCAGTGTTCACCTGCCATCTCAGTAACCCCATGTGTCGAAACTGCAGCCTTCGAGTTCGGCATTGTTACATACAGACGAAAACGATCATCAGGGTGACGAGGACAAGACTCTGGTGAACCTGTTCCTGTCTTAAAAGAGGCGGGAAGCCAGTTGCGGGGGCCCGAACAAGTCTAGCACCCACTCCGTGTTTATGCCAACCTGCAACGCACAGACGACAGCAGAGCTCACAACGGAACTGTCGGGCATCCTGCAGTTTTCAATGCCGGGACAGGCCGTTGTTCGAGAAGCAGCTCACAGCAAAGCACAGCACACACAGACCTCTCCTCTTGCGGCTGACCGCCTCCTCGGAATTTTGTCGAGGCTTATATATCAATGCCACGATGAATTGATGATGAAAGAAAAGGAAAGCAAGTAATAATCAAAGGGGTTTGGGTCACATTCTGTTCCCAGCACCGGCAGCAGACCGGCAAGAGAGTAGGGAGAAAAGCGAATGTAATCCCCAGGATGATGCTTGGGAGCTGTGCCGTTGCAAGATTTTGACAGGGTTTGATGAAAGAGACAGGCGAGGTAGAAGAGACTTTTGAAGCTGTACCTCCCCCCCATGTCGAATGCTTGCTCCAACCGCAAGCCAAGGGTTCTGACCAGCAGACGCAGACCACTTTCGGCACATTTATCCAGATGTCGTTGGACTCTTGGCGGTACCCGGTACTTCGCACCTCTGCCACCACGGTGGCCGCAGATATGCCAAGGTTGCATTCAGAGCTCCGTGCCCTGGACTCATTCACAGCATCACTTCAAGAAAGAGGAAAAGTAAAAATATATTTCACTTCCTTGCCAGCCACTAGCGGCTGCACATTCAATGCATCCACGGGAGGGCAAGCCAGCTCACCTGAACCCGGGACTGTGGTGAGTTGGGAGGGGGTAAACAGGAACCGACATGAAAAAATAAAAATATGAAAAAAAGCTCATCTCAGAGGGGAACGAGATTCAGGACCGCAAACGGCGCCAAGATGGCACTCCATCCATCGTCAATCAACCACCACTGCGGCGTTGGCATCTTGACCCATCCGCCCATCAGACACCCCGGTCTACGCTACGGATCGTGGATACACACACACTGTTGCACCTCCCACCTCCCACCCTCCTCCTAGGTAGGGCAAGGTTGGTATTTAGAGGTGGTTTTGGCAAGGTAGCCAAGGTTAAAGCTGTGACCCTGGCCCTGCGTTCGATTCACAGGCAGAGGTCAATTATGACAAATTGGCAGGGCAGTCTTGTTCGTTCGCGACGGGAGGTTAAAATGGCTGTCTGGGACCGGGCCATGTCGCTTCCTTAGTGTCCAGCTCTATCTCGCTGCTCGGGCTCCCGTTCCCGTGCGCCGAACTACTCGATCCTGGATGCTTGCCTGACTGGCGAGCGGTTGATGGCAGATGAAGAAATGGCAGGTTCGAGTTACGTTGGGGTGGTGAGACCCATGAGACCCTGCTAACGAACAGGCCAGGGTGACAGCCAAGCAGGACAGGGCAGCGACAGGGCACGCCTGGGAGTTCTTCGAACGGCCGCGATCAAGCCGGGAACGAATTGCTGGGGTACCCCCCCTGAAGCAATGTTCCCAGACGGGCATCCCAGGTCATCCACGCTGTCAGTGATGGGCAATACCACAGATACCCGGCTATACATCCACCACCACCTCACTTTGCCTGCTTCAAGGGCCTTGTTCGTCTTGCTCTTCTCTAAGTGGGTGGCACTTCGGCCCTGTATTTTCTTGTCATGCCTGCGCTACGACTTAGCATGCTGAGATAGGTAGCTATATGTAATTCATCTGCCTCCCGGTCCCTTCCCCCGTCCCATCTCCCATCTTGTCCCATCGCATCATTCTCCATCGTGTGACCGGTTCCAGAAAATCATTCCCCATCTCGACCGGACCGTCCCCTGCCCACTGGACTCACCTTATATGCCAGCCCACATCAGACACACGGCATTGTCACCTTGACTTCGCCTGTCCCGTTCTCCGGATTTTCACTCTGCCATCTGTTCAAAAGTGTCCGCTGTTCACTTGCATCGCTGGACTATCCACGACTCGGCTAGGTTGAACACTCAAAGTTTATTCACCCCCGCCCCCCCTCCCACCCTCCCGAAGAACCCCGACCTGGTGTGTGTGTTTCCATCTTGGGTTTTCTCCAACCCAGCCTTGACGACATCGACATCCCTCGCCGCCGCCACAAGCGATACTAACTTCGGCCGGTCCAGGTCTCGGGGCATATACGCCAGTCAAAAGATTATCAACAGATTGTCTGTCTTGATCTGGCTTGCATGTGGGACACTTCTTAGAGGTGATAAAGACTACGGGCCCCAGAATCCGAAAACAGGACAACTCTGGAGAGGCGGATATCGGGGAATTAGGCCAGGAGGGACTTCCCAGCCTGAGACCACCAAGACGGGACGGAAGGGGTGCAGGCGAGAAGAAACGAGGGAAGGAACCCGGAAGGGCCTGGCCAGCTACGACACTGAACGATACACTGAACGACACACACACACTGAACGAGACTCCGTCTGGTTGCATCCACTCACCCATTCTCACCCAATCCGCATTCCTCCACTCACACCTACCACCTACCTTACCTTCTCAACCGTTCAAGTACCCCCCCATCTGCACCTTCTGCAGCTCACCTGCATACACCTGAAGCATCCCAGCATTCAGGTTGGCTTCACGTATCGTATGTGTCTTTTATACCATACCTATACCTATACCTCCTCCCCTCCCCTCGCCCCCCTTCTCCTCCTTCCTTTTCTCCTGCCAACCCCCGCCTTCCAGTTTGTAGACAGTACCGCTGCTTTCTGATCCAGTCTGGGCTGCGTCGGAGGCTCAAAACCGTTATCACAGAGCTGTGGCTTCGTTTCCGTGGTTCTTCTATTCTTTTTCCTGCCCCGACTTACACAGTGTAGCAGCAGTTTCTCAGACACCGCATCTTCGACAATATCAGCCACTACCAACTCTAAAAAAAAAAAACCCTCGTGACCACTCCCTCCACATCACAAGCTCAAACAATTGCGATAGCTTGCCCTACTCCACCGAACCGTAGCGCTCCTTACACTTTTCTCGCGCACACACGGGTTAACTGTGGTTCCCTCCAAACTTAACCACCAAGTTTCGACCAGAAATAACCCATCCTTGGGACGACGTTGTTACCACTCTCAATTAGTTTCCCGCCCCGTCTCTGCACCGCACTGGAGCGTAGCCAGGCCGGCCACCGACAAGATGATGGCAGGACTCGCAGCCCAGGATTATCAGCTGGAAATAAGACAACAGCCCAAGGCAGGCTGCGTGGCTCTCACGAAAGGAAAAGGTATGGAAAATTGCGCGCTGCTCTGAACACGCAGCTTACACTCGTTGTGACAGATCGCCGACCACTGGATCCTCCTCCAATCGTCCAGCTCAAGGTCTCGCCGAGGTTGGATCCCACCCAGAGGTTTCTCCAGAATCCTTACCTTATCCTCATCGCCAAACTGGTTCCCAAGGATGGCGAAAATGATGAGCAACAACGGCGAACCGAAACCAAAGGGGGCGACTTGGCCGGGACAGTCGTCTCCTCTCTCTACAACCTCAAGGATACCGATAATACCCAGGGTGGATTTTTTGTGTTTGGGGATTTGTCAGTGAAAAGAGAGGGCTCTTTTCGACTCGAGTTCACCCTCTTCGAGCTCAGATCACAGACCAAAGACTGCTGGCAACTCTCCAGCTGCATTTCGGACACTTTCCAGGTTTATGCCAACAAGGCCTTCCCTGGATTGCAGGAATCGACATTTCTGACCAGGACCTTCAGCGACCAGGGTGTCCGGCTACGGTTACGAAAGGACTCGAGGACGGTTGTTCAGAGCAGAAAGCGCGGTGCCAGCGGTGCGCCCCAGGTTGACATGAAGCCGCAGTCGATTGGTTACATGCATGGTGGAAACCACGACTTGAGTCCCAATGGCCAGCAGCACCACGGCAGAAGGACTAGCGCTCTGGAGTTCGATAATGGAAGCTACGACTTTGGATATGACCCCCGAGGCGGCAAGCGCATGCGACACAACAGCTCGGCCGGCAATCACCCCGGCTACGACAGCGGCTATTACACCCATCATAACCCAAACCCTAGGACGATACCAGAGCCCATGGTGTCGGCTGCCTTTTCCAACGGCATCCCCATGACTACCAGCTACCCAGTGCATACACAGCCTGCCATCTCTGGAATCTCTATGCGCCCTAGTATGGCAGCTTTCCCGCCTCTGCATCCGCTTGACACGCAGATCTCGCCACACTCTGCCGGCCCGAATTCAGCATCGTCAACCTTCTCTCCAGGCACGAGCTTCTCTCCAGGCACGAGAAGGTCTCCCCTCTCAGCATACCAATACCCGAACACACATCACAACATCTATGGCTCGCCCACTCATATGAATTACCAGACGACTTCAGCACAGCAGCCAATGGCTCAGCATGGTGACATGGGGTTGTCACTTCCACTCCCAGGTATTGACCTTGGCGACATTGAGAAATAAGGGCTCACCCGCCTGGCTTTTCCTTTTGCTCTTGCGGAGCTGAGAAGCGAGTATATCGCCGACTAATCCCCCTTTCGCTGCGTCCGTATTCCCTGACTCTTTGCATTGGATGGAAAAGAAAATTGAGTGCACGGTTCTACCACATATGAGATTGGAAGTGGGAAAAGTGCAAGGGTAGCTTTTGAGCTGGGACTTTCTCTTTCTTTTTTTATTTTCTTTTATTTTACTGAATGGCTGTCTGGAATTCTCGGTGTTATAAAGGCAAACGATATCCTCTCTGTCGGTTTCTTTTGTCGGTTGTTGGGTCTTGGGTTCGGTCAAGCAAATGGGCATTGGAGAGAGCAAAGGAAAGAAAGCACGATTCCCCGGGGTACGGTGTAATTTTCTTGCAGGGTTCATATTTCATCTTCTCTTGTTACACTTTTACTCAACACCACTACCAACATCGCACACCTTCACTTTGTTCATGGCATTCTTCGACTTCTTCCGCCAAGGAACCATCGCTTCTGCCTCTTTCTCCCACTCTTTCTCCGCCCACCGCTTTTACGAAGTCATGAGAGATCACTTGTTTCCCGAGAACGGAGGGAGCAAGGTCATGTTAGCGAAGCAAACGAGTAAGCTGCGAGTTTGGGTTGGTCGTTGGCTTTTGAGTGATACCCCTCCGCGAATTTGGTTATGGTTATTTCTGGTGGCAAGGGAAAGCGAAAAGGGAAAGGGAAAAGGATTATGCTTACCAGAGAGGGAGAGCTATCAGGGGGAGGTAATTAGTGGGTAGGGGGAAGGAAGATGGTGATGCTTCCGAGGCTGAGGTTTCTTGTTTTGAGGAAGTTGTCCTGTGCATGTTGGGTTATACCTAGTCAGCGTTGGTAGGTATTAGAGAATAGTACCTGGTGGAATCACCGTAAGAAATATGGTACCGCATGCATGGGGCTTATATATGATAAAATCGCAGCTTGGTGTCCTGGTGATGTGACGTTTTTAAAGGCGGAATATGTGCTTAATGCAGATGTGTTTGGCACAGGATGACCCCCCCCCCAAAAAAAAACCGTGTTATGTGATTGGCTGGCTTTAATTTGGCTAGCTCTGATTGGACGGCTAGGATGGGGCTTTTCTCTTCTATCAACGGCGATTAGATAGATATGTAGATGGGGATCCAGCTCATCGACCGAGACCGATACTGTACGAACCTTTCCTATCTTTGCTGAGTCACGAGGGCTGGAACTTTCTGCTTTGGATGGACTCGGTCCTTTTCCCCCACATGGTAGAAAGCCATTTCACGAGGGGGCGCCCGGGCTTTTGGAGGCTGAATTAAAGTTTTTGACGGGGCGTGGAAATCTGACGGGTTGTCAAACCTAGGTGTGGAGGTGCGGGGCGGCGGCGGCGGCGGGGTTGGGATGATGGCTGATGGTTTCCAGGTTGGCATGTGAATATGACGGGATGGATTTGGAAGTAGGAATTAGTAATTGCTCTAGTGATAGTACATACGTTATCATTGGGCTTGTCATGCCCCAGTATGTATTTTCATCAGGAAATATCTCATCTATTCTCAAATATTGGTAGAGTTTCACGTATATCAACGCCCCCGGCATCTTCTACTCGTATTCTGCCTTTTCTTCCCCAAGTCATTACTTTGATCCATCGCCCAACTCAAACCCCCCACCTCTGCCTCAACGCCTCATAAACCGTCCCATTAATCGGCAAAACACTCCCGTGTCTCAAATTCTTCGGAAAGTTATTCCTGTTGCTCCCCACCCACCCCGAATTAGTCCCCGGGTTCGTACTCTCAAACGGCCTGTACCCATCGCTCCCGTAAAAGTCCAACAGCAAGTGCACCTTCCTCGGGTCGACATTGTCCAGATAACTCGCCGGCCCTTCCACCCCCGTCTGAATAATCGCCCCGTCACCCCCCGGTCTGGTCCACGTGCCGAATAACCCATTGTTGGACACCTCCACAAAGACCGTCTTTCGTGTCTCGTCTTTCATGAATCGGAGGAAGGAGGTGGGGGATAAGGGGAGGTAGTTGAGGTCGATGATGTTGGTGGGGTTCTTGTCGATGAGGGTTTGGGGAGCCGAGAAAGTTTTAAAGTCGGAGGTGTAGGCGTAGCGCATGCGGATGTTGGTTGGGTTGCCGGTGTGGCGGGGGTCCGACGTGGGGTACTATGAGTGGTGAGGATGAAGTTTATTTTGTTTGGGGGAAAGGGGGAAAGGTACAAATTTGGAAGCCCAATGAACGAGGTATTGCCCCTTGGCAGGATCCCAGATTGCTTCTGGGGCCCAGACCATACCCGCTGTGGCGTCTTCGACGGTGACGAGTCGCTCGTTGGTCCAGTTGATCAGGTCGGTGCTTTCCCAGACGAAAATGCCTCGGGAGCCGGTTCGTTGGGCCGCATCCCAGGTTGTCTGGTTTGTTGTCAGTCTGTTGAGGCACTTGCATCTTGGTGTCCTATTTGCTGGAACATACTCTCCCAATGTGAAGGTCAGTGCCGATGATATACCACTTCCTCCCTGATTCGCTCCCACCGCCAGGAACAATTGTAGGGTCTCGAACACCAGTAGTCCCCTTGGTCGGCCTGATAACTGGCTGTCCTCTATTCAACGCTCTGAAGGAGAGAGCATCGTTGCCGTTGCTGAGGTAAAAGTAGACATAGGGGTCGGCCCCAAGGAAGAAGGCGCCCAGATATCCAGCCAGGTTGTTGGTCTGTCGCTTTGTTACATCCACTCCAAGGTCGGCAAGGTCGAGAAACAGCCCCCCAGAACCGCGGCTCTTGATGCTTGCCGCAAGAGACGACCAAGTAAAGAGGAGAGCAGCTAGTGCCCAAAGAGCCTTGGGCGTTGCCTGCACCATGGTAATCGTGGGGCGGGTACAGTGTTACCACGAAACAAGTACCCAACGACCGGCGTACATAAAGAGTCCCAGATACCCGGGTGAGATCAGATGTAGACCTGCAGGAACCCGGCCGCGACTGGACCACGGTCTTTATATGCTGCTCAAGGCAAGCGCTCCCATCCATCTCTTCCCATCATGTGGTTCTGGAACCGCTCCCGTCAGCGGTATAGAGCATGTTCCCCACAATCTGTGGTCCGGGGAAAAGATGGGGTAACATTTAGCCATGATCTACTGAGGAGGAGGACGACTCGATCCTCATGGCTAAAGTCTCTCCATATTGTTTCGGCTTTTCCCGCTTTGGTGTGACTGCGTGCCCATCTGACGAATCTCCCCTCTTGCGATTGCTGGAATTACTTTTTTTGCGCGCTGAACCACAGTTGAATGGACGGTTCGTCATGTATCGAAAGAATCCTTGGCAGATTTGATACTGTGGACCGCATGGATTCGTGGAATAATTTTCCGATGGGGTTGTCGAGTTGTATTTGAGGGTCGGTTTTGACTATGGCTGGGGGCAATGCGGGGGTCGGCAGTTGGAGATCATCGTGTTGACGAAGTCTCAAGACCACTTACAAGCGCTCCAATAGTTGTTCTTGCTTTTGTATTTTCCGACATTTTCTATGTGATTGAGTTCCGACCACAACTCCTCATAAAAGACAGCCGTTGATTCATGTTTGATCAAATCCAAGTTCCTCGTCCAAGACTGTATGATGGTCTGTCGTTGATATCAGTTCGATCCTCTTGCCCCCGGGTTTTCGGGCGTTATTCAGCATCGCCTGGAAGGCATTGATACGAGCTTCGAGTGCATTTTCAGATGTTATTGACTGTTGGGAGCTGTGGGGGTATATTCCATCGAAATCCTCGAAGCTCGCATGTTCCCTGATTATGATATCGTCGTCCATTACAACATCATCGTCCGAGTTTGATCCAGAAGGAGAGGGTTGGGGGGTATCAAGCGCTGAAGCTGAATGTCCGTTGGCATCCATAACTGGAAGCTGTTGATGAACTGCTGACAATTCTGTTTCTCCAGCAGGCACTTCCAGTATATGTCGTTGCGAACTTTCCGTGGAAGCGGTCGTGGCCTGTGTATCCAGCATATCTTGATCGGCACATCCTAGCTTCGCACGTTTTCTGAGGATAACCTTGTCGTGTCGAAACACACTGTCAGAACACTGTGCCCCAAAGAGACCCTCGATGGTAATGTCTTCCTCGATCCACCGCCGTAAATCGACAGTACAAGGCCAAATATCTCTGGGCTTGAAGGCATCTGTCAGTTCGCAGAGCTCAGGGAATGATGAGTGGCGAGAGTATGGGAATGTTATGGTTCTTGGAAGCGCCACTGCATTCGATTCATTCAGTGAATGCTGTTTGTTTTGTGGCTTCAGTTTCTTCGTGATCGCATGAAGCCCATCGGCAAGTTTAATTTCGTCCTTGTCCTCGAGAGCTGACCGTTCAAGATCAAGAGGTACTTTTCGCCCACTCGCAACGGCACCCAGGAGAAAATGACGTATTTGCTCTTGCATCGAATTCGACACCTCCTCTGTATCACAAAGTCTGCAAATGTCAGTCAAGACTCGGCTCTCAGCACAAGAGAACGACTCACATTTCCAGAAGAGATCCTATATCTTCCAGAAATAGGTAATCTAGTTCTGCCTCCCTCTCCAGGTCCTCTCCGCCGCCACCGACACCGAGCTCTGCAATATCTTGTCCATTGGGGAGACGCGTAACGATGGGCTGGATCCAGACCACAGAAGAGAGGTCTTTCTGCACAGTTGGGCAGTAATTTCCCTTCTCGCAGCTATGCAGTCGGACGTTCTGATCGAGTGTGAGACAACCTGAGTGGTAGGTATTTCCACACATGAATCCGACAAGGGCAGGGGCTTCATGAGAGAGGTGAAACTGTGTCCCGAATCTGTTGTCGGTATCCTTGGCCACGAGAGATTGATAAATTGACATCTTGTAGTCATCCACATGAATCTGTCCCAGCATCAGCCAGAGCCTTTTGCTGACAATGAGAAGCTCGTACCTTGGTTTTAAGGGCTTTGGACAATACGATCCAGACGTCTTCGTAACTGTGCTTGAGTTAGCAAGGTAGTACACTGGCTCCTGTCAAAAGATGTACCCGTATGTCCAGGCTTGAAAGTGGAAGATGGTGTCTTTAGGGTACTTTGACACCTTCTCCAGCAGTTCGCGAATGCCCTCAGACTTTGGAGGAAAGTCGACGTCATCGACAAAAGACGTATCAATATAAATTGTATCCAATGTCTTGAGCCCACAAGAATACTCAATTAGCGGTGGTGATCTTGCTATGGCACTCACGAACCACGGCTCGCTTCTGATATCACCGGTGTAAAGCGCTGCCTTGCCTCCACCTTCGAACACTACGACTGTCAGTATTATGAATAAGATGGCGGAGCATTCTGGCAGACGTACGAAACATAACAGCGCCGGGGCAGTGGTTCGCATTGAACAAGGTAACTTGAATGCGGTTGCCTGGCTCGAGCTCCAACACAGTGGGTGTTTCTAAAGGTAGCGGCTTCTACAGTTCACTCAGTAATCGTGTCGCCCAGTGGACAAACTCGAGACTCATACCAATAGGGTCTTGAGGTGACGGTATGTTTGGACTCGGGCCTCTAAGATGCCCTTGGCGTAGTTGATGCGACATGGAAATCGTTCAAGCCGAAGGAGCATCTCTTTAGTGGCCGCGGAACAATAAACACTGGACATCTCCAAGTTAGAATTATCCAAGAGAGCGCAATCATAGGGAAACATACAATGGTGACCGTAAAGTCTCCAGACCAGCGAGGTGGTCGCTGTGGATATGGCTAAGAAAGCAGGCGAGTGGAGGGCGGAGATCTGGGTGGGAGCGAAAGAAGTCGACCCTGATGTCCGGAAATTCGGCTACTAATCCATTGAAGGTCGACATGACTGCTGTGTCTTGCTGAAGAAGTGGACTGCCTCATGATTGTTTTCCTACTCCAAAGTGGCCGTCTGAGTGTCCCCTGGCAGTTCCAGGCGAGACAGGAAAGGATGATGCTTGTCGTTGAAGCTCCAGCCCCACACAAGCTATCGACGCTAAAAAAGGCTCGTGCCCCGCCCCCGCGTTTGGTGTCGCCTGCCAATGCAGTCTTGGCCTTCCAAAGTTCCTCGTCTTCAACTTGGCATCTGTGCTCTGTCAAGCCACCGAGTGTTTAGGATGATCTGTTGGACTGCCACGATTTCCTACTCCAGAGACACACTGCTAGATCGGGATATTTCCCTATCTCCTCGCATTGCACTGCGTTGCACTCATGACGCATGTCCGATGAAATATTGGAGAAACGGCCAGCAGACATTGGCCCAAGCGCCCCCGCTATTCCCAGGATGGCAGCCAACGGTGCATCAGCGTCATCTTCAACCCCTGGGCTATCGCTGGCGGCTCTCTGGCGGCACCGATCCGTTTCATATCCGGCGCTGTTAAGGAACAGCAGCCCGCCCGCCCATCCATCATCGCCATGCTACATTTCATCCAAACTCCCGTCCCAATCACTGCATCTTTTGTCCCTCCATCGCTGGGCTTCCGCGTCGCTTGATCCCCCAAGTCATGGCTGTCGCTCTTAGCTCCCAGGTCCTGGAGTCGCTGCTAACCCCGGGGCGCCTGGTTCTTCTTTCCGTCCTGTTTGTGGTGATCTCATTCATCGTCGACATTTCCCGGTTACCCAGCTGTCCAGACTCTCTCCCTCGCGTGGGATTTGGTCGAGGCCTGGTCGCGTCTGTCAAGAACTGGGTGTATTATGTTTCGCGCTATAATGATTGGATTGCCGATGGTTATGAGAAGGTGCGCACCCTACTCTTATCCCTACCGCGAGGCGTCTGCGTGGCGTCCTACTGACATAGACGTGCGGTAGTACAACAAGAAGGGTCGTGCCTTTGTTGCTCCTAATTCCCCGAGCCGCCCTCTAGAGATTGTGGTTCCCAAGTCCCAAACAGCGTGGATGCTCGAACAGCCAGACCGAGTGCTCTCTACAAAAGAAGCCCATCGCGACTCTCTATTTAACGACTACCAGTTTGGAGTTGACGATCAGTTTCCGATTCGCACGATACACAAGCACCTTGCCCGCAATATTGTCAATTTGCTACCTGGAATCCAGAAAGAGGTTCATGCCTCCATCGACGATGTCTATGGGACAGATACAGAGAACTGGAGGACGCTGAATATCTGGAATTCTTTGATTGGCATCGTCTCCAGAGTTACAAACCGAATGCTGGTCGGCGATCCGCTTTGCCATAATGAAGAGTTCCTCAAGAACCAGGTGGCCTTCGCTGACGCTATCGTTCGCAATGGCTTGATCATGAACTTTTTCCCGAAGGTGTTCCACCCCATTGTCGGCCCTCTTGTCACCATTACAAACCGCCGAGCATGGCGCAAGACCTACGAAATCGGGAAGCCTGTCATAGAGCAACGTCTCCGGGACATGGGACGCATAGACTCTGGCGCTGACGTGCAAGTGCCAGAAGATATGCTCACCTGGCTCATCCGACAGGCCAAAGCCGAAGGCGCAGCAGAAGAACTCAGCCCGGTCATGCTCTCCAAGCGCCTGCTACCCGTCGAGTTTGCCGCTATCCATACAACGGTGCTAACAGCTTCGAATGTTCTTCTCGACCTCGCATCATCAGACCCATCTCTGGGCTACATCGACGCCATTCGCAAAGAGACCTCCCAGGCCTTGAGGGAAGGAAATGGTCACTGGACGAAGGACAGCCTAGCAAATCTCCATCTTACAGACAGCGCCATCAAGGAAAGCATGCGCGTTAGTTATTTCGCCAGGTGCTTGACCCACAGGAAGGTGATTGCACCTGAAGGAGTGACGAATCCAACAGAGGGATGGCACGCGCCCGAGGGGTCATTTCTCACCCTGGACCTTGCTGGAGTACATCTTGATCCAGAAGCGTTTCCTGAGCCCGAGAAGTATGATGCCTTCCGGTTTGTGAAGTTGAGAGAGCAGCTCGATCCGAAGAATCCCGAGGAGGCAATGAAGATCAAGAGACTGGGGATGGTAACTACGAGCCCGGAACACTTGACCTTTAGCCATGGGAGGCACGCATGGTATGCTTTCTATCCTGTGGCAATTATGTATCGGCATGCACTAACATTCAGAATAGCCCTGGGAGGTTCTTTGTCGCGCATGAGTTGAAGATGATCCTGGCGTATTTACTAAATAATTACGACATCAAGCATATAGAGAAGAGGCCGCAGAACGACTGGGTGGGCGCCACTGTTATTCCGCCAATGGCAGCCACGTTAGAGGTCAAGAGGAGGAAGATTTGATTGCGGCTTCTACATTGGGTACTTGGAGGTTATCTTTGGGTATATACAGGACGACTTTCACGACTTTCACTTTTCAGGATGAGCGCGGCGTTGGGTTGGATATCTAGATTGATTTAGGATATTCAGGGATGAGGTTTTCCGCAACGACCGATATTTATTATGATACAAGCTTTACAGCATCAGAACCAACGACCTGAACTACAGCAACAAGATCAATATATATATATATATATACAATTTCACCCTTGGTATGATGCTGTTTGGGGAGTTTCGGCACCGTGGCGGTGATGCACAAGGGAACGGAGAGAGTGGAGGGCAATGAGGCGGAACAGTATATTGTAAGGTACAAGGCCACATACCGTCTCCCGTTGTTGTCTAGAGCATCGCCGAAATCGAGGGTCCTTTCTGTCTGGTTTTTTGACCATGCACCCTTATTCATTCCCTTTAGAGCTCAGGACGGGACATCTTTCACAACACCGCAAGTCAATAGCCAAACAGGGCCCCCATGCCTCCAGATTATCTTGGGAGTCAAAGGACTAAATAATCCTCCTGCACCCCAAGGTCAAAGGAGATACTTGATGGATCTTCCGCCCGAATTACGTGAAATGATTTTTGACTTGCTGATCAGTCTTGAAAGGCTACAGAAAGCCTAAAAGACTGCAACAAGTTCAAAATGTCTACAGCAAGTTGAAAGACCACAACAGCCTTAAAACCTCACCAAACTGCAGCATTTCAAAAAAAGAAGAAGCACAACTTCAATTCAAAACACCCAACCTACTAGATCACTGATCATATCCCTTGGTTGACCCAGTTTCTCTCTCTTACTCTCTCATCAAAGTTCAAATGAATGGCAGTAGCATCAATGCTACCCAGAGCCCCAAACCTTCCGTCAAATTCTAGGTACCTTGTAACACAACAACAATAACAACCATCACCCTCCAAACTAAGTAATCTGCTCGCACCCTCATCTCTTCCTATTTCCTTGCCCGCCCCCAACGGCAAATAGAAAAAAAGAATGAGTAACAGCAACTACCCTTCCACACCCACCACCACCACCACCACCAGGGTGACAGCCTGCGTAACCACACCTTCTTTCTCAGTCTGTGATACCAAGCCCTCCCCTCCCCGCAAAAAAAAAAGAAAAAAGAACAAAAAACTTCCAGACCGACCCGGTAACACAACATTCTCGCCTCATCCCACTCATCATTGAAGCCCAACACCACCACCATCGTCACTTCCACCGCACCACACCTCGCCTCAAACTTCTGGTCTCATTCACCCCCAAATCCTGCCTCACCTCCACAGGCCACCTCGTCACCTTCCCATTAAACACCGGAAAACTCGACAAATTCGTCCGCGGCGCATACTCCATGTCCAACACCACAACCCCCAAACTAGGCACATTCCCCACCGAAACCTCCTCCCCATTCGCCTATTCCCCCCATCATCATCAGTTAGCATCTTTCTCTTCTTCCCTCACAAGTCTCAAAAAGTATAGGGTAGTTACTCACCCCCTTAATCCCAACTCCCACCTCCCTCTTCAAATACCCAACCACACTCTCCCTGTCCAAATCCTTCAAAGTCCCATTCCCAACCCTAATGTCCTGCACCGGTACGCTCTCCCTCGCCACCCCCTCACACGGCATCCCCAGCAGCGTCATCCGTCCAATGCTCTCCCCCCTGATAAACAAACTCACCGTCGCCGGCAACCTCCCCGCCAGCTCCCCCCTCTCCACGCTCATCTCCACCACCCAATAATCCCTCGTCGTCCCCTTGCCCATCCGGTTCAACGGTCCCGTCTCCAGCGTCGTCGCCCCGTCATCCCCAACCATGTCCCCGTAAAGCGCATTCACCTTTGCCCTGACCTGCTCCGCCCTCGCCTCAGCCGGGAGACTCCAATCGGGCAGTTCCGGATACGTGTACCCAAACACGCTGACATTAGCGACAGTGTTGCTCGTGTGGAACTCTAGTAGCGTGCTGTTGCCATTGGTGGTGGCGGCAGATGGAGCCCGGAAAAAGGGCTTGAGCGGGCTGTCAGCCGTGATCACCGTGTTGGCAGGAGTTCCAAACTGCCCGCCAGACAAAGCGCTGCTTGTAAACATCGAGTTGTTGTAGTAAATTGTTTGCCACATGGCCACCAGCCTGTCGACGTTGCAGTGGTGTAGCATACTAGAGACTTGTTAGCCAACGACAACAAAAGAAAAAGGGAAAAGGGTGTAACACACAACAGCGGCTCAAAGGCCGACCAGTTAATATCGGCCATGGTCCCGTTATTGCACCCTGCACGAAGATGAATCAAGTTGTGGGCATTCTCAAAGCTCGAGCTGCTCATCCCGTCATAGGTGTTGACCCGAGTAAAGACATCATACTACGACAACTTCCCCATTAGCCGCCGACCCAACCATGCTCATCAAGCCATCTGAAGCTAGGTGCCTTACCACACTCCCTGTCAAATCCCTCGCCGCCAAAAGTAACCCCTCGTTAGACTCGTTGGCATCATTTAGCACACCCCCAGATCGAGAACATCGTATTGTCTGCGGGTAGTGTGTCAGGGCGCTATCACCAAATCCCTCTTCAACCTTTAATCGTTGAAACTTGTAAGTGTATAGCGGGTTCGGTATGACTCTTCGTCCCTCTGGTGCCTGCACCGTCATGTTGAGCCTGGTAGCTGCTACAGGCAACGCTGGATTCATCGCCCAGTCCCAGTATGGCTGCCGCAACGACTCTGCCGCTGCCATGTACTCGGGAAGCAGATCTGGGGGGTATCTAGACGCGATGTCAACCGCGCGAGCCACCAATATTTGCTACCGAGAGAAAACATGTGAGTTTCGTGGGGGTCAAGGAATCAAGCAGGGCAAATGCAATGCCACCAACGTACCTCAAACAGAGCTACATATGGCCTATGCCAAGTTTGAAAAAGAAGTTCCTTGTATGTCACAGATCAGCAAACCACTCTCAGTACCCCCCACAATCCTAAACCGAAAGCCTCGTTGGGCATACATACACCATGAGGACAAAACCCCCTATTAGAAGGCGCCCCATCTACATGCCCTACTCCGTTCCACGCACTGTGGGGATAACCATGAATACCTGGGCAAAAGCCGTCAGCAAGCTATTGCCGAATTTGGGAGGTTGTGATGCCGAGACGGTGTCATGTATTACCCACCTGCTACCGCGAAGTACGATAACTCGTTCGTCTCGTTGAGCGCCTGTAATTCTGATAGGGCCAGAATGTAGAGATGCCTACACATTGACAAATCAGATCCTCAGACTCCCGGCTGTCAAAATTTCTGTGTCATGGTAATACCATTGTGCCCCTCCCTTTGCCCATAGACCATTGATATTGAGTCTGGCTGGAGGTTTCCCTGTAACCTTGTCAATGCCCGTCCTGACGCCGATCACAGGAATAGGGGTCGCGGAGGCTAGCGCAGGTGACGATGAGGGTGATGATGGGGGCGAGGACGCGGGGGTTGTCGACTGAGCCACAGCCCATGGGAGGGCCACGGCCACCATGCAGAGTGAAGCGGTCCTCCGCATTGCTTCCAAGAGAGATACAACCACACCGATGACTCAGTCAGGCATGAAAATACTGCAAAAGGGAGTGAAAAGAGAAGAAGGCGGGGAGTCGGCAACTATACCGCCAAGCCCTTTCAGGAGAGAAAGCGGGTTGCCTCTTCTGCTTTATCATAGTGGCGAAGAACCCGCCCTCCTGGACGACGCCAGTTCTTGTCGGGTCCGCTTCTGCAGGGAAAACTGTAACAATATCACCAACTTTGTGGTCTTGGGCACAGGACCTTCTCGCTGAATCATACATGCCATACGGATGAGTGACTCTTCCGGTGTCCGAACTTCAGGTGGGTAGCCACGAGCAGCAGTAGTAGGGGATGTCCGATAGAGGGAAGCATGTCTGAGAATAGAAAGGCTGTGTCGATGTTTCGCCGCTGTCGTCTCTGTTTGTTGTTGTTTATGGGGTGTGTAGTGTAACCAGGCCCCGGGAGGACGGGCGTCTGCGTCCCGCGGCAATGGGGTTTTCGTAGAGGATAATTGATCCAGAGGCTGCAGGCCTCTCGTATCGCTTTCTATGTCTTGTGCGCTTCAAAAAGAACAAGCACGGCGCTGTCATCACACTCCTTCTGCTGGTTGCCGACAGGATAAGGCCACGGCTGACCCACGAGGGCACAACACGAAAGCAGGCCGACCGTTTCTCCCGTCGAGGTGGTGTTTGGATAGAAGGCGGGCGGGACCTGCGGCATGGCTACATGGAAGACGGGTTATCACATCCCATGACTTCCTTGCTCTCCCCCGTCGTGTTTCCGGCGTCTTGGTATCTTGTCGTCGGGCGTCATCTGCCGTGATAGCTCCTTAGGCTGGATGGACCATGCTGACAGCGTGGGGGTGACGGCGACAAAGTTTGTTTCCTGTGCCAGGCCATAGGTCCGGGCTCGGCCCGTCGTCATTGTACGTCTGTATCGATGGAAAGCCACGCCATGATGGGTAAGGGAATGACTAAATTTAAGAACAAGAAAAATAAGAGAAGACACGGGGCCCAACGAAGGCCTTTGCAGATGCCGTGTGCTAGCCCAACTCCCCGACAATGCCAGGAAAGCGTGAGTGTGGCTTGCTCCTTCCCAAGTTCTTCAACAGTCTAGGCTGAAGCGGAGTCGGGAATGGAAGGAGCACATCAGCTCTCTCATCAGCCTCTCATGAGAGTCAGTCACCAACGGCGAAACCCGCTGAGACCGAACAGTCCATCCTCCCCAGTTCGCTACCTATGTCTGAAATGTTTTACACAACACCTCGGTCTTCTCTCAGCAACGACACCGCCCATTATGCGAACATAGTGACACAATACTCGCTGTGTGTCTCTGTGGGACCTGTATCTACCTCACCTTGGCACTGAACTTTCCTTCCTCATGAAGAACCGAAGTCAAAATCCTAGTTAGCCGCCTTAAACCCAAGGCCAAGAAACAAAAAAAAGGGGCCCCAAAGTTGCCCCGCCATTTGGTTGTCGTCGACCAGCAGCTCCCCCCCTTCCCCCCATCTGCCCCTCCCTTCCCGCAACGCGGGGAAGTCCTAGCTCTCCCGCTTTGGCATCCGCGCCTAGCTCGGAGGTTCAATGTCAGGGAAAAAATATACCTACCCTTGTGCCTTTAATTGCCCAATGCACTTGCAAATGTACTGTGATTTTTGGGCCGAAAACGCGTGGGTTTAGCTGCTTGTGGTGAATGCAACATTCGGAGTGTTGATGCCTACCGGGGGTGGACAGAGAGGGAGGGGGCTCGCCTCAAGGTATACAGATACGTGGTCTGTGACACCTGGATATCTCCTGTATCTATCTACCGACCAAGTTAATATGTTGTTGACTTCCGGGACTGGGACAAATTCCCCAGATCCTACAAGTTTGCGCAGCACCGAGTAGTCCCAAGGCGTGGTACTTTTGAGGGGGAGCAAGAAGGGTGTTTGTCACCTTTGAACTGGAGTGACTTGCCATGCGGGGTCGAGAAAGAGATCGGGCTGCCATACAATTCCCATGTGATTGATATTGAATGAGGGGCTCATGGGCGTGTCCGGTGTCAAAAAGACTCCTCTGCTAAGCATGAGTCCATAGCCCTCCCTCGCCGTGTTCGGTGCCGACCATCCGAGTCCAAAACCGACTGCCCACTTTTCATGTCGTGAAGGCGAGTGATGAGCATGGATGCCGTTGTCCAACCAGGTCGAAAGCAGCGGGACCTGCAGCTTTTTTATCGTGCTGTTATATTGTATCGCCTTGGTATGAGCTGACACTCTCGGTGCAAGATAGATTGCTAATCCCGTGACACGGATCTTGGCGTCTTCCTGCCCACCACATGCTGTGTGATGTGACCAAAGGGCATCCTGTTAAAAATAAGTTGGCATCAGGAACAACGAGACAACAAGATTTCGAAAGTCGGAATGAGAGGAGTAAGTTGACAGGATTGAAGTTGAGTGGGCAGAGTCCGTCCTCTTCATGCTGCAGCCCTCATAGTTGGTACAAGGGTAAAAGGGACAATCCAATGAGCGTAAGCAAGAGCAAAGAATGATGGATCAAGAAACAGGTAAAGCAATCAATTAACTTTTTGCTGGCTTCCATAACAGACAATACCCAAATCGTGGTGATGAGAAATGAAAAGAAATATGATATCCAAGGAAAAGTTCCCATAAAGTAAACCCTGCAAAGTGCCCTGCATTTATGACGCCGAGAGATGATGATCTCTATCTTGCCTTTTCCTCAGCTCTTTCCGGTAGCCAATTGTCCCAAGTGAATATCTCGCCCCGAAAACGCCAGCTGCCTTGATGTGCCTGCGTATGCCTCTTTATCCCATACCAGGAGGCTTCCTCTGCGCCAACTTCCGTCCCAACAACAAAAGTATCCAGCAGAGGCAGTAGTAATGGTATATCCCTGTTCATAGCCCCTCAAAATAGCGATAAAAAAGAAACATGCTGTGCTCCGTCTGACAGAAAGAGACGGGAGAAACTGCGGGCGCCTTGGCCCGGTTGAACTCGGCGGATGCCCGCATCCCTGACGCTGTGTTGTGTGGGTAGTGCCGTGTACCTTACAGCGACTTCTCCAACATGACCAGGTCTCTGTATCCCTCTTTCCACTTCTTCTCCTGGGCAGCCGTTGGCTTGGGGAGAGGGCTTCTGGCGTAGCCACCATAGCCTAGCCAGCTTTGAAGACCGGATTTGACTCCGACGACTCCGCCTTGAATGGCTGTCCAGTCTCCCTGGGCAACGATCTCTTGCATTTCCTGAGCCTCGGCATGCTTGCCTTGGTTGAAGAGCTCGATCGTGCGGGTGCAGGCCTTGGGAGCGATGTTGGCAAGGCCGGCCAAGATGCCGTGGCCACCAGCCACCAAGGCCTGGATGGAAAAGTCGGCAGAACCAGCGAGGACTAGGAACTCCGGGTTCTTGGGGTCATGGGTCTTGGACATCTTCCGGGTGGCCGCAGCCACGCGGTTCAGCTTGCCAGTGTTGCCACACGTGAGCTTCACGCCCACGATGTTGTGGTGCTCGGCAAGCTGTACGATGATGTCCGAGGAGAGATCAAGCCCACCCACGGCGCCGGGGAAGTTGTAGATGATGATAGGAATGGGCGAGGCATCTGCCACGGCAGTGAAATACTCGATGATGGTCTCGGATGCCGGAGCAAAGAGGCTGGCATAGTACGAGGGCGGGAGCACAAGAGCATAATCGCCGCCAGCCTCCCACGCCTCCCGGCAGTACTGGATGGTCTCCCGTGTGCTTTGTGAGCCGCAGCCAACAATGATGGGCATGTGGGAGAATCCCGAGTCGTTCAAGGCCTTCCGTGTGGTCGACGTAACCAGCTGTCTCTCGGCGTGTGTGAGATGGACCGCTTCGCCGTTGGAGCCTTGAGTGGCCAGTCCTGTGACGCCCGCGCGGGCGAGTCGCACTGCATGGCGTGCGATGGTGTCCGTGTCTACATCTTCCGAGCCTTCCTCAAAGAAGCACATGGTTGGGACATAGACGCCTGGCACAAGTGGTCGGGTCATATGGAGGTCGGATGCTTCCGAGGTTGTGCTGTACGAACTACTGAGGGGCGACTCGTGGCCTGCCATGAGGGATGAGGACCCGACAGGGCGGAAAGGGATTCTGTTGAAGCCGGCAGTGAAGCTGCCACTGGGCGAGGGTGCGTCATTGTGAGGAGCCATTGTGGGGGCTGTGATATGATGATGGTATGACGGGGTGATATGGTTGTGATGGTGAGCGAGGGTAGAAGAGAAGAGATGAGGGGAAGATCTTGATATGATTGTGTGTAAGGGTTGGTTGGTAGTGGTTGGGTGAAGTCTGGGAGGATGATGGAAAAGGGAAGATGGTGGTTCTTGGGGAGGAGGCTGATATATGTATGTAGAGGCTGATCGTAATGGGATCCGCTTGGTGGAGAGCTGGTCAAGGCCAAGAGAGATGAGGCAGGGAATGGGGGCCCAGTGACGGATGGCTCATGGATGGGTCGATGTCCAAGGGCGGTGATGATTATGGGCTTTCTTTTTCCTCTGACTGTCGTCTCGGACGCCTGCTGCAGAAAACGCCCAGGATACTAGCTACTTGCGAGGGCACCAACCCCGAGGTACTGATCATTGACCAAACCGCGCTGGATGTGAGCAAGCTGAGCCATGAAGTGACTTCGAATTGGCGGGCTATGAATTGTAGCGCAAGACCATATGGCACGCCCACTCGGCGTCGTCGACAAGGATGATGGGCTCGTCAATGGTCACTTTTCTTGGCTCGCCCGACCATGTACCTGAGCACAGTGCGGACTGACGGGCTGCCCCCAGGAGCAAAACCTGGGGTGTTTCTGGAGCCCGGCGGTCCCAGGATCTGGAGAAGCGAATGATTTGCGGGTGTTGTGTGGGGGTTAGCTTGCCAAACCTGACCGGGTACCACTAGAGTCTCGGCAGGGAAATGGTCAGGGCATGGTCAAGGCGCTAGTCCCAGGCGGGAAATACTTCCCTTGGGCCTTGGGATAGACAGACCTCTGGCCGGTATCGATGCGGAGAATT